CTCATGCAAGCGCATATGCCGTAGTCGGTAGACCGTAGACCTCGCACCCCTGTATTGCCGGGACGAAGCGAACTGCCGGGTTTTCGCCTGCCCAGGCTACGTTGACAAGGATGAATCAGGAGCTGGCAGTCATCCTTGAGCTTGCTGTGCCAAACCAGATACATACCTGGTACATATGGGATATCGGTTGCTTGGGCATCCCGGCTAGCCAAACGTTTCGCATTCGGCAGGCAATTACCATACAGTACTTCCAAGTGCCGCAAGCGACTTTGGTTGGATCTTTTGCGCGCTCGTACGAAGCAGGCGCGCCACACACGCGCGCGAACTCGTCGCTTGGTGTGTGATGGTGTGTGATGGATACACTTGGGAGAGAGTGCAGTCTGGCTGGCGGGGGGGCAGCATCGGTCTCCTCTCGATCTCGGTGCCACAAGGGGCGGCCGGGGGGGGGGGGGAGGCAAAACAAGTTGTCAGGACTGTGTTTTGTCATTTGCTACTGCTGTAGTTGTCAGGAAATAAATATACACCCTCAAACAATGGACAAAGAGAGGAACCACCCGCGGTGGAGGCGGAACTCGTCAAGAGGGACGGGTGCTTCGAAGCCCTTGCGAGCCAAGAAAATTTGAACGCCGCCACCTGAAAAGAAAAGCCTGCTGCCTGCGCTCCATCTACTTGCATCCTTCTCCTTATGTATGTGTGGAAGAGGAGGACTGACGGTAGGGAACTTGCCTATTTGTTATGAACGCCAAGCAACAACAGTAAATAGTAAACCGCACACAACCGACCGTCAGCTGCAACAGGTTGGTTCAAGGATCACATACACTTCTTCTATCCCACCGCCTTCAAAAGTATAGCCAAGGAAAGATATCACTCAGAGCTACAAAGTGCAGTGTGGTTATTTTCTACGTCCCTCACTAGCCGAGCAGTTTTTCCCCCTTGACACCCCTCTGTCATTTCTGCTTTCGGACATATACATCAGCTTTGAATCCGCAAGTGTGTGTTCAGAACGGTAGGCATCATGTACGGATGGCATTGGCCAAGAGATTCAATTGGAACGAACCGAGACCAGGTTCAGGTGTCGTTGAAGCACGTTGGGAAATAAAGCGCGTCAACAATTACTTTTGACGCTACGGCGCCCTAAAACAACAAAACAAAAAATAAACAACCCCCCCGTGATGTTAAGGTGGACCCGATTCGCAGGGTATGCGTCCATTGACTTTCGCCAGAATCGGTACGCCTTCGCATATGGCGTCAGCGACGGGATGCTGGTCCGATCCTTGGTTGGGTGCACATTTTTCTCCTGACTTGGACATCCCCATCGACATACTGTATGTGTGTCAGTCCTGAGAGCACCTCTTCTTTGAAGTCGATCCTACAAAGAACCTTGTGACACTTCTTCCATCGAATTACCCGTCCTCGCCACAAGAAGAGGTTCCCAGTTTAGGGTGAATTCTGTGGCGGAGAGACCCGATTCGCAGGGTATCCGTCGATTGACTTTACCAGAATCGGTAGGCCTTCTTCGCATTAAACTACATCGACTACATTATTTATTAAAAACCCAAAAAATACATTTTTTTGGAAGACTAGCGTCTTCTTGCCGTTATTCTTTCTATCGCAGTTTTTCAGCCTTTTGAATAACAGTAGTGTAGTAGTACTGCAGTTCGGGCAATCGGATACATCTCCTTTGTTTTCAAAAGGAAGCCGCGCGCGGCTGCTGGAGAACAACTGCCTTAGCCCTCGCCGCCGACGGCGACGCCACTGACGACGACGCAACGAGATGCCTGCCCCCAACATCGCCAGCCCCGTCACCGCTCATACTGCCACCACCACCACCGCCATCGCCACGATTTTCTTCACCGCAACGGGCTGTCGTTGTCGCCGCCGCACAACCACCACCGGCCAAGGACATGGCGGCTGTGGGGCGGAGGGCAGGAAGGAAGGAGGCGCTGGTGTCAGTGCTGCGATTATTGCTATTGCTGCTGCTTCGGCTTCGGAAGGATTTTTCCTGTTGACACTCGAAATCAGCCGCCAATTGTGCCAGTTCCTGTGTACACAAGGGAGGGAGCGTGTGGGGAAAGAGTGTGTTTAGTTTGTTTTGGTGTGTCCATGGATGGGGTGAGCGGTGTGTTGTGCATTTTGGTTGCGACGGTTCGTTGGAACGCGACGGCAACACACACGGACTGCGGAGATCACTCCCGCCCCCGCATCGCGCATGTGTCTTGTAGCCACGGGCGTGGCGGTGTAGCATGGTCAGGAGGCGGCAGGCAGTGTTCGCAGTCAACAACAGCGGAGGAGGCGGGGACGGGAAGGGGGGCTGCGAATATCACACTGGCTCATACAAGCGGGGAACCCCTTTCCGAGAACCTAAGAGAGCCGATCGATCGTCTACGTAGAGGTTTGAGACCGACCTAAACGTCGAATGTTCTATAAACAACCTTCGATTCGCGTCTACTTGAAGGGTTGAGGCCGAGCTAGGCGTCTAATGTACGACATATAAACAACGATTGGCGAATACGATGCTACGCATTCTCCAGTGGAAGGCACAAAAGAATCAATGCACGTTGTACACGGCAGAAGTCGCAGTTTCAGACGGCCACGGTTAAGGTCTTTCTTCCGGTCGATATACGGATGCATCCACCGATGGATGCCTGCCTATCACCTTCTGTTTGTCCTGTCGCAGTTTTCGGAGCTCAGCCTTAGCACCGGCAAGCTTCTCGAACAAGACGCGGTACTCCCTTTTTCGACTCTTGAGCTGTGCCGTCAGCGCGAGCGTAGCACTGCTGATGTGCTCTTCCCGCTCTTTCTCCTCCTCGCACTCGTCTCCGTCTCCTTGGCTCCCTTTCCGCTGTTGGTGCTGCCGCAGCTGGGCCCTTGCGACATCAATCCCCCCCTTGGCGTCGTTAACGCGGCCCGTGAGATCGCTTGCCAGCGAGCGGACTCGCTGCACAGCCGCCTTTGCGTCCTGCAAGCGGAGAGGAACCGGAGACAGATGATAGAAGATATCGGCAACAACAACAACGACGACGACGACGACGACGACAACAGCCACGAACATTGAACACCACAGGCGACGGTTGGAGAAACAATCACCACCGGCGGCAAGAAACACGAAGTAGTCGGCATTACACTGCCTGCGGCGTCGATATAGACGCTTTCTTCCCGCGCCTCAGGCCATGGCCTGCGTGCACGAAGCGTCTCCTTACAAGAAGAAGGGTACCCCCTCGTGCTTTGGCCGCTACAGAAAGATTTTCAAACGGGGGTGATGTCCGCGGTGCTACCAGGCTCTGTTCTATTGCCTGAAGACGGGAATTGCTTTGTTTCCCCTCGCTAATCTTGAACAGCTCGAACGCTCCGCCCAAATGATGACGACGACGACAACGACGGCGACGGCGACGGCGACTTGTCTCTTCGATCTCGCCCCCCGTCCCGTGTGACTCTGTCACTCCCGTCCAATCGTCCTCGGTGACGGCGGTGGATTCGGCGTTCGACACGTCTTCGTCACCGCCATAACCGGGCACGGAACGGCGGCGCGACGCACCGCCCTCCTTGTTGTCCGCCTTTTTTGCTGCTGACCCACCGCCGGCACCACCACTCTTGTTCGACAAAGTAGTACAAATACCTCCCCCGAGCCGCTCGCTCGGTCGGCTGCCGTCAGGCCCATCGCCATCGCCGTCCCCCCCAAACTCCTCACTGCAGCTCGCTCCGCCCGGTGCTCTTGCGACGATCCAGGTGTCCGTGGACGGATCACTCCGAGAGCCAATGAAAGGGAGTCGATCTCCTTCGTAGCGCCTTGTTCCTTCTCGCCGACCGTCTTCCTGACGCGACCCTCCTCGCGATGATTCCGGGCTGTCGATGTCTCTGTTGCTACGCCCCACCACGGCATCGACGGCGGATCTCACGGCGGCGGCTACTGCCAACTTGCCTCCCCCCTGTTGCATTGGTCCAGTCCGCGGATCGGCGGCTAACGCGGTCAACTCGTTGCCACTCCTACCGCCGTATTTGCTATCGTGTGCCGCTGCGGAGGTCGACGCTGCCGCCGTGCTCGCCGTCGCCGCCGCCGCCGCTTCCCAGACGAGCTCTCGGAGAGCTCGGACAAAGTCGCCCGCGTACCCGGCTGCGCGCAAGGAACGCAGTGGTCGGCGAGGGTCGTTGCTGTGCGCCGTCAAGAACGGGGATGAAATAACGCGGCGCCCTCTCCCGCTCGCGACACGTCCTTTCCTTTCCTCTTGTTCGCCGGCGCTCACCGTCTTCGCTTCGGCCATCTTGTTGCTCCGTCCGCGATGCCCGGCGTCATCTCCAGCTTCACCCTCCGCCATCTCCTCTTCCTCTTCTTCTTCCTCCTCCTCCTCGTCATCATCTCCCTCCTCCGACGGCACCGTCGTCAAGCTGTCGCTTTTTCGCCCGTCGCCATCCTCCCGACTGCCACATGCCGCCGTTGCCTGCAACCCGCTGCTTCTTTTTCCCCGCCGCCGCCGCCCCCCCGTCGCCTCGGCGGTCGCTCGGCGGCGGCCGCCGCAGTTGTTGTTGCTTCTTCCCTCCAGAACGAACCGGCCGGCTTCCTCCCAGACACGACGACGACGACGACGGTCGTGCTGCGGGACATTGTCGGCGTACGCTGGGGACTCGCACCCTGCTCGGCCGCCGCCTCCGGCGGCTTGCTGTGCCGCCAGCTGTGTCTCGAGCAGATCCACCTGACTTCGCAGCCTTGCGCATGCGTATGTGTATGTGTGTGTGTGTGGTCGGCACGGCACGACGAGACCGACAGATGAGAGGATTCATGGGTAGGTTATGCGCAAAAGTAGCAACGGGCCGAAAAAATAACACAAACGTTGTTCTTGTTTCACCATTGGTCCACCTTTTCTTCTTTGAACATCGGGCACACAGCAGCATGCATAGTGGGGTGGGGATCCTCGCGGGCCGGTGTGAGCAGATTAAGTACAATCCGCGTATACTCCGCGCGCAGAGTGATGGGGCGAAGCATGCACATCGTAGAATGAGATGATGCGCACCGCATGGGAGACAAAAAAACAAACGTAAGGTTTTGTGTGTGTGTGTGTGTTGCGAACTCAGCAACATACCGTACCTCGCTATCTCGTCGTCGGCCGACCAGGACCGCTCGTTCACGATCGGGGAGTTCTTCACACAGCGCATGCGGGCGGCAAACTTCAAGGTGGCGAGGCTCTGCTGCAACAGGTCCGGGCGCGGCCAAATACACGCGACCATGAGAGTCTGGCAGTTTCCACCTAGTGAATCCTGCCAACAACACAGACAGATTATCAAGTCGTGGTGGCAACGATCACGAGGGTCGCCGGTGATCATCAGTCGAAGCTAAAAAACGCATGCACAAGAGAACCGTGTTCCTAAGAAGCGTAATTTGGATGGTCAGGTTCCGGTGCAAGGCCATCGTGTAGTAAAGGCGGGATGGCCTGGGAGAAATTAGTCGTGGGTAACCCCATGCCCGTTTCGTCGGCGGTCAAAACAGCAAGACTAGGTACGGGACAGACGGAGGAAGATGTGCAGAAGAATAAGCAAATAGGAAACCAATTCTTCTTAACACCCCCGACAAAACAAGCCCGTGTCGATGCAGCCAGTTCCATAGGGAGCGTCTTGGTCTCACTTACGACTTTATTATATTTCTTGGCGAGGTGAATCGACCGGAATTCCGGAGGGGCGTTTGCCGGATCGTGTCGAAAACGTCTCGACGGAGCAGCAGCAGGTGGTGCATTGACAAAGAGGGCGCAAGGATAACTGTCCCCGCACAACAGACACGAAGAAGGCCCGAGCAACCCAAGGAAGGAGCAGAACGTACAGTTGGCCTGTCCGAGAGGAGAGCAGAGGCTTACTCTAGTGGGCCGGCGGCCTTGTGCACCTTCAAGAAGTGAGTCAGCTTCGAGCTTCGGAACGGCACGTGCTCCCTTGTCTGGTCCGCCAACGCCATCGTGACCTGTGGGAACACCAAAAAAAGATATACGGGATAAAAAAAGTGCAAGAACAAGCGGGACACGGGCGACACGCCCCCAACAGCACGAGGGGAATAAATGACGGGCTGAGAGGGGGGCGGAACTCGAGCTACAACCGTCGTAGCCGCACGGCGTTGCCAGAAGTAAATGCCTGGGAAGGGAAGGACGTCATCACCACCTTGGCGGCTGGCGGCACATAGGGGGGGCAAAGGGATGAATCGCTACCCCAGACGGCAGCAAGATTGGGGACATGTGCTGGATACAGTAGTGAATGTAGCTCTCGACATGGCCTCAGCTAAAGCTCGACCGCACCAGACACACCCACCTGCTCCAGAAACGTGAGGGATTTGTTGATGAAGCGACCCTCGCGGTGAAGCACCGCGTTCGCGCCTGTCGCTCCGGTCGCGCTCTTTTCACTCCCGGCCAAATCCACCAGGTTTAGCTTTGAGGTCGTCGCTACGCCTCCTCCCCCTCCTCCTCCTCCTCCTCCTCCTCCTATCCACCGTCCCGGTCCTTTTGCAACTCCTCGTCCGGCGTTCTGCTCGTCTGTGGTCTTCCCCTCGTCGCCGCCAGACATGGCGAGGTGGACGGTCAGGACGGCGTGTGACCTGCCGGTTTGGCCGATCGCGACGCACGTTCGAGCTCAGCACACAGCAAGCAGCACGAGCGACGGCCGACGGCACATGAACCCGGGGAGGTGCGGCTGGTAGTACGTGCTTCTGCGTTGCCACCAGAGATCCCGACGTGTTCTACGGGGTTCTTATCCTTTTCCTCGCGGTGAAAGCCTGGCCCGCACTCGTGCCTGAAGTGGGAACCAGATCGTTCTTCGGACTAGTTGGAAGGGACACCAAGGCGCTTTTCTGCTACAATACGCAGACGACAAGCCCTCTTCTGGCAGTAGAACACTACCACCATGTCTACCGTACTGTGCTCATTCGTTGTCCAAGTTCTTCGTCGTCTACTTGTTTTCCTGCAGCATCACCCTTTCTCGCCTGGAAGAAACGCGGTTGAACTGATGCTCGGCGACCTCTCTTGCCACCTGGCCGCATCGCAAGTATCTCAACGCTTCGCCTTCGGTCGACACCGTATGTACGCGAAGCCCCTGCACCCATTCAACCGCCGCCACCAATCACCAAACGTCCAAGCACAAACAAGTGGAGGAGGTTTTTCGACGAGCTTGGTTGACCGATGGCCATGGTACGTGCGTTCATACAGCCCACGCGACATTGTGGACTTACATAGTGCGGGTTGAGTACTGCTACGTTTCCAATAGGTTGTTCGCACCAAGGAGCCTACTTGGGGCTGTTCCAGGAGTCAGGCCAAATATCAAATTCGTCGTTTGACACCGATGCTCTTCTCTTCTACCTTGACGTATGTGGAGCCGTCAGGTCGCTCATAGATTGCCAGGTCCGCCATCTGCTGACGGGCACCCGGTGTTGTTGTCAGAGGAGCGTGCAGGCCGCTGCCGCTGCCGCCAGCGCTCCCGACTTCAAGTTCTCCCACCAACCTTTGGATGGAAGACAAGGGTGTGTTTCTCTTTCCACCCACGGCGCTCTCTTTTCCGCCGTAAACACTAAACCGCCGCTGCTGCTGGTTGGCCGATGAGTAGGCCTCGGGCGGGAGCAAAAGGTCGAACAGCTGCTCGTTGTAGATTTCCACGAAAGACATCTAACACACACAACAAGTGTAGGCCGAACCAGGAAAAAGGAGACGTAGGCGGTAGCGGTGTGGGAAGCACACACGGGGCACGGCCGGCAGAGGGTATGGCGTTGTCGCGTACACGACGGCAACGAGAGTGTTGACAATTTTTCATACCTGGACGACCCATTGTGAGGCTTTAGTCTGGTTGTAGAGGCGCGATGTGGTGAGTAGACGCGCCCATTCACGTCCATGACGTTAGACAGGAATCACACGAGGCGCGTGCTACTTTCTGGGTGATCACCCAGTAACGTATCCTTTGAGGACGTTGTGTAGAGGGCGGCAAACATATGGGACATATGTGTACCTACAGAGAACCAACGTCGTCGTGCTGTTCACGACACGAAACCTACCGTAGGTTGCCCGTTCGTTCATGCCATCATTGATTGTACGCACCTGGATCGTGATAGCGGGCTTGTCATTTCCTCTACGGCGGCGGGCGGCTTCTCGGAAGACGTCCCGCAGCGCCCTCGCGCATATCCCGCTCCTATTGGCGTCGTCTACCCCATCTCGATCGCTCCCCATCATCGTGTACGATTTACCTGCCCCCGTACACCCATCTGCCGACGACGCCCCGATGGGGACATGGAAGGGTGGAAACAGTGTGAAATGGGTGGGCGCACGTCATAAACGATCGAAACTGCATGCTATCTACGGAAGAGGTACAGAGGATGCAGCGTCATGCCTTATTTACTATACCAATGGTGTATAGAAGCCGACATCAAACCATCAGACTAGGTAGCGCTGACTTGTTCTACCAGTCTATCTAATGGTTTGAAATCGACTAGGTGTAGGTGTCAGGATTCGTTCGGTGTCACATTCTCGGAAATAGAGACACGACGAGTGAACAATCCTCGTGTCGAGTATATATATTGGGTAGCGGGTGCTTTGCGTTAGAGGTTGCCGAGTTAAGGTAATCTCAAGACGCTGAGATTAACGAGATTAAAGAGTTCACAGGACATGCTGGCGCATGCAAGGCAGAAGGGAGATCGCGCGTCAACAAACACATGCTGTAGCAAGATGATAAACTAGATCTCCGTAGATCCGTATCTAGCGTTGAGTCTGCTGAGTACACCCTAACAAGTACGCCTACTCCCCTCAGTGCTCTTGTACACTGATTTCCTTGCGTTTTGAAGAATTCAATAACCACTGAAGGCTTAACCCCTTTGGGTCTAGCTGTTTCTTTTTTCGGCAAAAAAAAAAAAGGAGGAAAGAGTGCGGGGAGAGAGACAGAAGTACAGCAGAAAGAGACGAGTGTACTTGACGCAACAGCTATCTCCACCCATAGGCCATGAGGGCTGCCCGCGACAGGACGTTTGGCACAGACAGGGTCGTAGAAGGGTTGATGCGTGGTCGCGGTGCGGCCGCTAGGGCAGGTTAGGCTTGTAGACCTCGACAAGATCAGTCGTCAAGCCACCCAAACTACTCTATTTTCAGTATATTCAAATGATCAGTGAGAGGACTTGTAGACCCATAGCTGGTTCTTGTACTCCGGTACTTCTCTGTCCCCTCCCCGATGCGAGCCCTGCCGGCTCACTACAGTTCCTGTGATTTTCCCACAATTCCCACAAGCACGCAAGCACACCAGAACACACCTACCTTTGCATCAGTGGCTCTCTAGGTTCGGGCGAGGGTATGTGTGGGGCTATGATGATGATGGTGTATGTGTTACTACAGTACTGCTGTATGTTGGACTCGTCTACATATACTGCTGCTGCTGTGTAGTATAGCTGCTGACATGATGACTGCTGGATGTTGAGAGTGTACGATTTTCAATTTTGGAGGATATGCAGCATACATGTACCACGATATCCTGGCCTGGTTGAGCTTGAAGTGCTCCTTTTTGCTGTCCTCCTGTCTTTTCTTTGTGTTGCTTGCTAGATTCGGGCGAAGGCATGTATGTATGTGGAGCTATTGATGTGTGTCTCTGTGAAAGGATATGGGGAGAGATTCATGGTGGCATTCTCATTTAGAGCAGTGTGCATTTTTCGAATTTTGGCCGTTCCAGGGACCTTGATATACCCGCCGGCACTAACGTCTTTTCATTTGTCACGGGGTACGTACGCGGTCGATGCGAATAATATGGACACATAGACACACCTACCTATTGACTTGCCAACACCTGGCGTGGAGGGATACAGGACGGCAACTCCATGGCATGTCACAACACCAGCATGTACAAATGATCAATCAATGATCTGTCAGGACACCTGTAGACCCAGTTAACTCACACGCCATGATTGTACCGTTGACGCCGTTGAGCGCCGACTCCAGGATGTCTTTCGCGCATTTTCGGTACACCTCCTCCTGGGAGCATCCGGCCTCTAGCACATCGTCGAAAGTGAAACCCCACCGATCATTCCTCGCGCCGCCCCTTACTGTCCTCGCTCCCCACCTGGCGGTACTGCTACTGCTACTGCCGGATTGTCCCGCTAGCACCGAAGAAGGCTCAGCTGAATGTACCCATAAACATCGATGGTTGGTACCGATCGGAACTCTCTCTGTTGAGGTGCCGAGCGGACGAATCCTACAGCACACAGTGATCCTACCGCCGCCGTGTTCCGCTGACGTGCCCATAGGACGAGATTAGGTGCTGCATTCGGTCGCTACAAGGCAAGGTTGGGTTAGCTCAGCAATGATTCGGGAACGATTGCTGCTTTTATCCACAGATCTACGTATCTACGTTCTACGTATTGTATCTGAAATCTCCGAAAAAACGCGAAAGATCTTGTACAGTCATCTCCGATAGACATCTGTATCTCCGGAGATCGACGGTTTCGTTTCAGAAGGACACACACCGCTCTCTCTCTCTCTCTCGCTTGCTCTCGTTAGCGTGTTGGAGTGCAACCACCGACAGCCTTACCCACCAGTGCTGCTGTGATACGGCCCTTCATAACGCTATCTCAGATCGGCTCGTAACGAACAAAAGGAACAAATACGCAGCGGAGGCAACGGCGAGCATGATCCCCCCGCACAACTCCCTCGTGAAGTATGACAATCCGATACTCGTGAGCACGACCGGCAACCGAGGCGGGAAGGGAGCAAAGAAGAAAGGGCAGGCGCCAACTGTCGAGCGACCATCCTCGCAAACGGAGGATATCCTCAACTCTATCTTGCCGCCGAGGTGCGTCCCTCGCGCGCTCAACCTTTTTCACACCCGGTCGTACCCGTGCTCGTGGTGTGGCTTGGGTCATAGTGTCGAGTACTGCGCAATTCGCGAGTGCTTGTCGTTGGGTATTTGTTTCAGAGCACAAGGTAGGCTATCTTCCACTGCCACTGCTCATGTTTACAGTCCGAGCAAAACACGGAGGCACCCAAATAAATTCACAGCAGTGTACATACCGTAGGTGACACAAGATACCACACCCCCTGAGCCTATTGTCAAAGCTCGAGTACTCAACCAAGCTCGAGTACTCAACGACGAAGAGAATGCATAAATGAAAAATAAAGATCCGATACATTTTGTTTCGGAAAGCTCTCTCGACGAGAAGGCTTGAACGCGGCGCTTCGAATCTTCTCGACGCTTCGATTCTTTGTGCTGTGGCGATATCAAGCTTTGAAAATTGGTCCAAGGGGGGTGATATCTTGCATCATGTCCACCGACGGCACAGGTAGTGTAGACTACATACATATGCTTGTAAGGGTAAACGTAAGGAATCTACTGTAGACTACCCCTAGCATATGCACAGGTTTGGGGCACAACGGAATAAGACCGTCTCGATCGACAACATTTCCATCTTCAGTTACGGAGGCAAGGCCGTAGGGAAGTTGGGAACAACGAGCGACCGTTTGAAAAATGGGATGACGACAGAACAGAATCTTCGTGGACGGATTGACGGGGCGAAGCCTCCTCCCTGTGTTTCTACTATCCCTCGGAGTACCCACAGCACTTAGTGGCAGCCCTGTATACAGCAGACTCAACGTGGCAGACCTGGTGTTCATCTCATGTACTTCATACCTTGTTTTCTAAACATCAGCATATATCTGTGTCTTGTTTTTCAAGGAACCCTGTCAATCGCAATATATTTGCACCGGCCTTTTTTGACCGACACTACTGTACGTGTAAGGAGCTACAGCCCGGAGGTCGTGCAGAAGGCTTCGGTGTATTGTATCAACCAGCAATTGAATGTGTCGAGAAGGGTTCATTTGTCCTCAAGCCCGCTTTGTATCCTCACTCGCGAAGAAGAACTTTCTAAATCGCCGGGATTTGAACCCGCGGGGTTGACCGTCCCAAAGTTTCGAGGATACTTGTAGACGGAGGCCTCGTGCCGTGCTTGTTGAGAACTGCGGCCATGTCACGTGTAGCTTGAGCCCGACGAAGGCCGAGTCGAGGTCACAGAAGAAGTACGCGTACAAAGTGAGAGCCTGCGATATGTGGCACACGCCATCCGTCCTTCTTCTCCTTTTTCTCTTTGTCACGACGATGACAGGGAATGGACTGACGACGGGCAGCTCTGGGTGCAGTATGTGTCGAGCACGCCGGCGACCCGACTAGACGTTACTAACCTTCAGGAACAGCTAGACCAGAAGCTACAACAGAGACAAGCGAGGGAAACAGGGATCTGCCCCGTTAGAGAGGAGTTGTATTCGCAGTGCTTTGGTGAGTGAGCGTAGGTTGGGGCGCCGAGGGTATGTATGCGTCTCAACAACCACGTACTACGAACAGACAGGTGGTGGTAGAGCGATTTACCTTCGACATGCACACGGTCGCAAGATTCTAATTGATTCGTTTACGAATACTGGTCAATGGTGGCCAAGCAACAGGTAAATTGACAAGAAGGGCCCGTGTTTATGCGTGGAGGAACAAGCAATGGACCGTTCTTGATTCCTGTGAAGGGTGGCGGAGATTGTTCGTACGAATGACAACTCAGAACACAATTCGACGTGTTGTTTCCGAGGGCACAAAACGACTGAGGAGGAGACACACGTGTCGAACGTTGTCCAGCAATTCGAGAAGAAGGTTTCGCTCTTGTTGACTCACACGACAAGCGCACAGAGTGTGATAGCGGAAGGTCCACGACGTTGTTGTTGTTGCTGTATATTTGTCAAACGGGTACAGATTGAGAGACGACTACATCTGGGCAATCACTAAAGCTTACGATAACCAGTCGGCACCAAGCTCACGCGCAGTCACTGCCTTGCCATCAAAATCACACCTTGGGCACTCGGTGCCCTATAACAAGTTACTAAGAATATTCTCGACTCTTGCTTGACCGCATGTTCGCCCCCCGGTCCCCCCCCCCGACTCCGCTGCCTGTGCGCCCGAACGACTAGACGAGCTGATTAGACAGGTGACAATAAACTGTGCTGAACGAGGGTTGCTGCTACTCCGCGTGCGGGACGAGATCCATATGACCATAGCCGCGTATCAGACGATGTACGAGTCGAGCATTGCCTTCGGCATCCGGAAGGCGCTCATCGCTGAGCAGCGCAAAGCAGAAATGGAGGCAAAGGTACTGTACGTACGAGTTACTGCATCCACAGCCTAGGATATTTGGATTCATTTCTTCCTTTTTTGTTTGGCTCATTTTGATCAGTCGTGCTAACCGCTCGCAGTACGTAAGGTCTGACGATAGTAACCACGGATGGATGGAGTACATCGAAGAGTATTGCGCAAGTTGTTGAGATGTTTGTTGAGAGGTTTCTTGTGACTGCGTGAACGCAATTGTGTAGGTTCCCAAACCTTCGAGCAAGATCATGCGTTATGGAACACATACGCAAGGAATATGCAGGAAAGATTCTTGAAAATAATGTGAACCCAAGAGAGGGGACACAAAGATTCGGCCGCTGTGAGGAAAATGCACCAGATGCATGACCAATTGTTTCCATTCCGGACCAATTTTTTCCATTCCAACTGTGGTGCGTGCTGCAATTTTCGTTTCAAAGCCGTTTGATGGTATCTATCTGTGTATCCCTTGAAAGAGTTAACCTGACGGGTGTCCGATCTACTTATTGTGGTTGCAGATCCGGCAGTTGCAGGAAGACAAAGCCGACCTAGAGCGCCAGGTGACAGAGCTCAGCGCCAAGTGCGAGCAGGTCAAACCACGGGAGGCGGAAAGGTACGAAGAAGACACACGAAGTCGCTTCAGTAGTTATGCGGTAGAGGTCTAGCAGCTGGCGCCGGCAGAAACGAAAAAATGTTGACGTTGTGGGTTCGAGTATCACTCACTCTATTCGATAGATATTGGCGCCAACCCAACCTGACACGTAGAGTCTTTGTTTTGTTCTGTTCGCCGTGGGCGCCGACCAACTGCGGTTGTTTGGAGAGGAGCACTCTCTGGTTGGTTCTTGAACACAATTCCGGCACCCCGGCCAACCGACCGAGTAAATCGAGGATCGATGTTGTCTTTTATCCCGTTACGGCAGTACGACCTTGAGGGAGAGTGTTTTCGCATCTTCAACAACCTCCCGATGAGTAAACTATGGTGGATGAATTCCCCCCCCAAAAAAATGCCCGTTTGATCTCTCCTTCATCTACCACAGCGAACGTATGGCGTGATGGGTCGGCACCATCGGTCAGCGCAATTTATATTGTTATTGTTGTTTCTCTCACATTAGCTCTATAGTCCACAAAAATGGGGGGGCCGTGGTCGCAAAACCCGGCACATACATACGACGCCGCGGGAAACAAAACAAGAATAGAGTACAAACCACTCGGAAAAAGAAAACAAAATGATGGAAAGAAAAGAACAGCTACCGCACCGACCGGTCGAGAAAAGGAGCAATTTATACGTTCCGAGTCGATTCGGGTCGTCTCCCGTGTTGTGCAGAAACGCCAAGGAACTCTCACGAACGAGCTCACCTACCTTCTTTCTTAGTTAAAACCATAACGCAGAAAAGACCTAGGCGATGCTTTCACGGTAGCAGTCCAGTCCCCCCGCCCCTCAATCAATCTGCTTTCGGACTGTCAACCTTGCACCCCCCCTCGCTCCGCGATGGCACTGCCGTTCTGCGTTCGTTCCCAACACGGTGACGGCACGTCCAGACGCGCGGCCGACGAGAAGAAGCACAGCGCGGAGGTGGATCAGCTCAAGCGCACGAACGAGCAGCTCAAGACAACCCTGGAGCAAATGCTCTCGGCTCCCAAGAAGTAGAGACAGCAGCTACCCTGGTCATCTCATGACCTTCATTCTTTCGCTCGAGGTTTCTCTCCCACAATCAGCAGCGGCGACTTCCTTGTGCGTACGGCGTACATGCATGCCCACAATGCTGTGTACTCTGCGGGAGCGCTATTGTTTATGACTATGTCTTAGAGTCGTTTGTGTAGGTGTGGCTCGGTTAGTCAAGTCGTTCGGTTGCAGCTCGGCGCAGACGGAGGCCGGTGGGTGTGGACCACGTTGTGCTGAACAACTGTCCCGTTTTCAGTCTTGTACTCCCAAGATCGACGGGATGACGACGCGGCCTCTGTAACAATGTACGGCCCCCTCGAAACAACCAAAGCAAAATGCTTAAAAAAAGACATTTCATGATGCTCACCAAGAGAACACGACGAAAGGGACAACGGCGACGCCGCAAACTCGCATCTGTTTGGTCCACAAAGCAAAAGTAGGACCTGGTTTTCTCAACTCAATCCCGCACCACCACCACCACCGTAGCCTGCCCTGTCAGCTACATGCATCGTCGGGACGATGGAACTCTTTTCAGAAACACGTCCGACCGACATCTGCCGCGCGCGGCAAGTAACCGCACGGCAGCACCTAGTGTGTTCCCCAGACCAGACCACCTCCCCCCTGCTCTGTTTCAGGTACGCTCTCTTCATCAGAAACTACACCCCACACGCGAGAGGGAGTCGTGGCACCCACGTTCGTGCTTTCCTGATGCATACAGCAGTCGCACCCGCGCTCCTCTCTCAATCTTGTCCAGAGAAGAAACATCACCCCCCAAGGGGAATAAAACGTGGAACGGCACCCCTCGCACTCACCCAACATGTACCCTCCTCAAGGTGACCGCACGCACTATTCGAGGCTAGACGAACACCGTAACGCGCTCGAAATAATACACACCCTCCGATATAGCACAGGTCCATGACCACAAGGGGCCCAACGGCAAGTGGAGGGCCGGGCCTCGCCGGGGGTCGACCTCCCGGTGCTGCACAAGGTCGTGCGTGCCAGCACGATCACCAAAACCAAGCCGCGGCAACCGCACCCCGCACGCGCGCCATGCTTCAAGAACCCTTCAGTCTTTTGGCACTTCCACGCACGGCGCCACCCATGTACGTACGCCGGGCCACCCACACAACAGGGCCCTTCTTGTACACGCAAGGACGCGAGCATCGGGTGTGTGGCTTCCGGGACACCTGACCTCCTTTAACAAACGTGCAAGACACACGTGTGCCGTCAATCGTCCCCCGCCTGTCTGCCACCGTCATGGTCTTCCAACCCCTGCCGCCTCCCGATACCTCCCGCAACTTCTGATCCGCTCGACCATATCTCGCTTCTCCAGGCACCCCGCCGTGCTGACGCCTAGCCTGCTCGTGATCTCCCTCAATTCCTTCACCGACATGCTCTCTAGGGGCCTCCCAGCCGCCGCCCCCGACGCCGCCCCCGCCCCTGCCGCAGCTGCGGCTGCTCCCGCTTGTGGTGGCGGTGGTGGCGGCGGCGAAGCCGCCCCCGCCCCCGCCTGGGTCGCCGCCCTTTCCGCACTGCCGCCTCCACCCCCACCCCTCCGCCCGGCCCGCCACCACCATGGTCTTATCCCGGCCCGGGAAAAAGAGTTGGAGTTTGGTTCTGCCCATCTCCTCTCCTCTACTCCTCCCTGTCCTCTTGCCGGTGCTGCTGCTGCCGCCGCCCCGGCGCCCGCCGTCGCCCCTCGTTCAGGTGCTTGTCGCGCTGCGGAGCCCCCACCACTACCCCCCCCGTAGGCGAAGGACGGCGGGGCCGGCGGCGGAACTGCCTCACCGTGCGTGACGGTTACGAGGCGGGAGGAAGCGATGCGGTCCAGCAGGTCGGCCTTCTCCAGGCAGCCTTCGGTACCGATGCCGGCTTGCAGCATGAGAGACCGGAGCTGTCTCAGCCCCATGTTGGACAGCTCTTCCGCGTCGTAGCTCGGTATCTCGGAATTCACGACTTCGATCTGTCATTGATATTTTGTGTGGTGTTCACCAACGAGAGGGCGTTTTTTCGTTGGACCGTCGGGTTCATCGGTCGGTCGGTCGGACGTACGTGAATAGAAGTACAACAGAAGGGGGTGAGAGAAAAGGGGCGACAAGGAACAACCCCTCAAAAAAAAAAGACGATGCTGCAAATCACGGAGTCATCATGTTCAGGACACAAGCGAGTTTGGCCTCAGGTGCTCTTCCCGCCGCGGAAAAAATGAGCAAGACGCATCCTTTCCGGGCGTGGGTGGGCGGGGTCAGGCGGAACATAACGGACCAGCTTTTCGTCTCCAGGGACACACGAGCCACGTCGTCGTCTCGCAAAACGGAGGTGGCAAAAAAAAAGCATCTCGAGAAGCCTCTTCGGTACATGTTTTCGGATCAATATTAGGTGTTCACAAATTCCAGTTGTAGCTGGGGATGGTCCCAGCTCCCAGGTATGAGTAACATGTAAAATACAGGGGGCGCGTCGGCAGCCAACACCTGCTGCGGCGTCGAGCGCGTAGCGACTGACTCGCTCTCTCTCCTTCTCTGTCTCTCCTTCTCTCTCCCCCCCCCCCCTCTCTCTCTCACCGTTCCGGAGTCGAGGAGGCACCGCACGATGTCCGCCTTCTCGAGGCAGCCCGCGATGTTCACGTTCTGCCCTCGGGCGAGGTTGCGGACCTGGGGGATGCTGAGGCCCTCCAGCTCCTGCCGCCGGTACCGCGGCCGCCGCCCCCGCATCCTCACCCTCCTCTCCCTCTCGTACCCGGCGTCCTCCGTCTCCAGCTCGAAGCGGCACACGGGACACGTGCAGTGCAGCTCCAGCCACTCCCACACGCACTCTGCAGCAAGCGTGACGCGGGGAAGGACGGGCGACGGCAAATTTTCGACAGAAAAAGAGACGGAAACGATTGCCTGATGACGCTGGTACGTGCCTCAAGCCGCGTTATCGCAGGAACTGTCTCTACTTTACGGTCGACGTAGCGCAGCCGCTCTCTGCGACGCGACCTGAGAGCAACATCTAGAGAAAGGGCATCCATCGTCTCATATATATACATCGAACCCTAACATCCGTCCCGTCTGATTCCCCTTTCCTCCCCCCCAGGGGCTCCGCGTTTATTCCCGCGCTGTCCGCAGCAGTGCCCAGCTACGCAGTGCATTGGAGAGCGGGACGGAAGAAGAGAGTGTGCGTCGCGTGCATGTGTCTTCCACCAACACCGACACGAGCACAAGCACACCTCCTCACGGGGTCCCAGAGCATGGCGTCAAGAACTATCTTCGTTTTCAGCTGCACCGAGACTGACGTCTTCTCATTGTTAGTGCGATCGATGCGAATAATAACACAACACACCTCGGTGGAAGATGTGCGCGCACGGAAGCTTGACCACCGTCTCCCCTAGCTCGTGGTCCTCGAGGCAGACGCTGCAGGATCGGTTCGTCTCCTCTGCCAAGTCGAGCGCTGCGATCTGCCGCGCGCGGCCCGTTTCAAAGCGACAAAAAAAAAAAAAGTGCGTAAAAAAAAAAATACCACACCGACAAAAAGAGAGCCAATACGAGACTACCCCATCAACACAGCAAGCTGCGTGCGAGCAAAACAAACGCGAACGCAAGCATCAACGAACACGGACACGGGATGCGATGATGAGTCAAGACTAAGCCCAAAAGCACGGGCGACTGACTTTTACTCACTATACGCGCACTCCCTCGTGGGCCCTCGCTCGACCAAAGGTCGGGACAAATCGACCTCGGGTCCGCGCAAGCGAAAGACACGTAAAAAGACACATCGGATCACTCATTCCGTTGGCTTGCGCTTCTTGCCAGAGACTTCGCAACGAGCCGGAGAGAACAACGCCAAACGAAACTCGTAGAATGCGGATTGGCGGCAAGTCATCATTATCGGCCCGCGAGAGCCGTCCCAGCTGAGCGTGCACCCACAACAGCAGCAACACCGAACGCAGGAGGCGTCATAACAAAAGGCGCCGCCGTAGACATTTGTTGCAATGGGGCTTCTACTGCGCCCTCGGTGTCGATTTTCATTCTTGAATTGCTTCCGCTTTTCATCGTTTTTCGTGTGGCTTGTTATTTCTGCTTCCGCATATCGGATTCTGGCGGCTTGCCTTGAGCCAGCCCCCCTGCCCTTTCCCTTCCGCCCGTTTCCTCCGTCCAGCCCCCCCCCCCAAAAAAAAAAAAAGGGTACACGCTCACCTTGACTTCCGGTATGTTCTTGAGAGCCGTCCGGCTGGCTGGCGGAGGGCCCCGCTGTCTTCGCTCCTCTTCCTGTTCTCTGTTGGTGTTGGTGTGGGGCGATGTTGTTGTTTTTTTTGGTCATCCAGGTTGGACGTGAAGAAGCGGGGAACGGATGCGTGCGCGTGCGTGCGGGGGCGGGGGCAAGAAGGGTAGAGATAAGTCTACTACCATAAATACCTGCAACACGCCGGCGATTGGTCTCTTGGTACCCTCGCCTTTGTTATCTCTCTTTCCCCCGCGTCCTCTCTTCGCCACGCTCGCCATGAATCGCTACCACGCCCTCTCTCTGTCTCTCCTCTCTCGATCTCTCTTTCCCTCTTCACCATGATCGACGGTAGTGTGGCTAACGGGCGCCCACCCACTGTTCCGGCCTCTTCCGTTGGGCGCTACTCCGCCGATAGCACCATTACCTCGCCAGCTGTACTGCGTGGGCTACGTGGGGTCAGAAACCTCTCAGGGCCGGCAAGTAAACCCCATGCTTTACGTCCTAGGTGGCCAAGTTTGGTAACGCCAACATGCCACGAGTAGGCCTTACAAGCCCTTGAAACCTTCCCTTCCAACAACCTGTTGAAGGAGCGGCTGCTGCTGTACACCACCGGTAGAGCAGGGTGATCACCACCAGGTTGACGATACATCAACTATCAGGCGAGAAACTGCTACCACAAAAAACGGTCCGGCAATCAATCAGACTGCGCGCGGACAAAGAAAACGTCCAAGACGGTAGCAGCCCCTGCGGACATTCCAGTACACGGGAACGACTTGCCCCACCAAGCAGGTCTCAAGGCAGGGGACGAACATAAAGACGAACGTAGGCTAGGTAGGCTAAGCAACCAAAGCAGAGAAGGAGAGAGTCTTTTTACCCACCGTCGGCGTTGCTCCTCCACGGCGGCCGCGTGCGCTCGCATGTCCTGAGGCGAAGCACCGTTGCCCGGCGGGGGGTGGTGGAGGTTAACCTGCTGTTGATGCTGCTGCTGATGCTGCTGATGATGCAAACCGTGTTGCATGCTGTCCATGAAATTGGAGAAGAACTTGGGGGCATTTTTTTTTGCAGATAAATGCGTTCGGCAGATGGAAGCAGCAGGGGCGGGGGGGGGGGGGGGGAAATTTGCTCCCGTAACACTGAGAGGACAGTGAGGGACCGGGGGGTACACAGTGCTAGCGCTTGCACCATCTCGACCAACACTTGCCCATCGCCACGGCGCGGTGCTGGTCTACCTCAACACATCTAACTGTCCCTCACATTTCCATTCCAGCCGCCGGCTGCAGGCTGCTGGTGCGTCGCGGGGGGGTTCGACCTGTACAAGGCGGGAATCGGGCGTAAATAAGCGCTTTTTCCCCCCTCAAAAACAGGCGTGAAACTCGGGACTCTTGTTTAGCTGTACGATGGTTTTGCCCAGCCTGTGGCGAGCGTTTCAAAGAGGTGCGATGTACTGACGCTGCTGCAACCAGAACTGGCGCGGGTGCAACGATGCAAAAACCACAAATTGTGCAGGACGACAGTTAAGACAGTTAAGAACCGCCAGGGAATGCCCAGCCTGCAGAGCTTTACTTAACTTGATCATTTCAGGAAAATGTGTCCTACACAGACTTGCGCAAAAAACCTTGCCAGCAGCATTGCTCATTTTCACGCATGTACATAAACCCGGGTCTCTAACCCGCGGGTCTTTTTTTGATACTTTATGGGGTGGCGTTTTTCGTGGAAGAACAATTGACCTTTATAAAGTTCGTTTTTATTGGGGGGGGGGGGGGGGGGTGCGATCACTCGCGCAACTAACTTTTCCATTTCCATTGGATGTTTCACTTGTTCGCTCCCAACGACAATGATCGACACAAGCAAGAGGAGGGTAACCCTA